TTTGTCAAATATCACAATAAAGTCTCCCGTGGCGGCTGCTAAACATATGATGAGACTAAAGAATCAATGTGTCATAAATTCATAATCATCTAACTTATGATTTTAGAAGAAGGCTTTTTGGAAAGAAGAGGAAGATTTTTTTTTTTTTACAAATTTTTATTTTTTATTTTAGTATGGACTCATAATTTTATAAAAAGAAGAAGGTTTTTTGGGATATGTAATTTATCATGTCTAGACAACTATGACTTAGATTAATAGTCATTTCATCTTTAATTGAATGGCTGAAAGTTAGTCAAGAACAATTTAATTGGTTGACACCAATTGCATTTATCAATCTATAATATATGTCTACATGATGTTGTTGTCGGCTCAACTAACTACTTGATCAATATAGAGAGTTGGATGTCTCTAGACACATACAGATAATGTGTGTGGAGAAAAATAAGAACTTTGCCCTACATTTCTAAACACTTTTTATTTATATTTGAGTAAATCAGTTGGGATATAGGCCTCTACCCATTTTTATTAATAAAGAAAGAAATTGCAAAAAATATAAAGTTTATGATACAAATCTCTCATGTATAGTCCTTGCTATATCAGAAGAAAGAAAGTTAGGTAGTTGGGCACACCAAATCGAGGCCTCATAGATACTTGCAGCTTCTTTGGCTTGGCGGTCAGCCACTGAATTGGCTTCTCGGTAAACATCTATAATACTTTCGGGATGGACCAATAAGGTGATAAGAGCAGTTTGCTGCCGCAATGTTAAAGATTCCAGGGGGGACTTATAGCAGCCGAGAAGGGAGTGCATCAAAACAACGAGTAGCTTAAAATAAGCAAGTGAAAGCAATGCATCTCAATAGCTAGTTGAATGCCCCTTTCGAGAGCTTGAAATTCAGCAAGATTGTTGGATGTGTGCCCCAAAGGGACAACAAAAGCGGTGAGAACTCCCATGTCATTTCTGATAATTCCACCACAAAGAGCCGCTTTTGGATTGCTTAGAGACTAACGATCAATATTGAGTTTGCAAAGAAGTGGAGACCATGAGACTATAATCAAAGGTTTAGGGTGCACAGAGCGTGCATCAACTGCTCTCTTTTGGGCCTCTTTCCTTCGAAAATACACAAGTTCCTTTTTGTCTAAAGAAGCCAGACTGTCGTGGACAACAAACAGATCCAAATATTACGTAAACCTATTGATTTGAACTGAATTTTTGATCCAACTCTCAAATATTGACGGAACTAGTGGCCACATGGGGAATTATTCGCCATAATGCCACATGATAGAGTGCCAAATGACTAAACAGAATAATGTGATTAGCTAAGTCGCCCCGGTTGAGGCACATGGCATTATAGGGTGCTAAAGAAATCCCAGTAGATTGGAATAGCTCTGATGTGGTGAGGCATAGATGAAGGGCAAGCCAAGTGAACCAATTGGTTCGGAGATGGGAATGTGAAGCCCATAAAGATTTAAAAATCCCTTTGGTGGGGGGGGCCTTATTTCTAATATGATTCCAAGCACTCTTAATAAGAAAAGACCCATCTAAGAAGTAAGTCCATGTAAGAAAATCATCAAGAAGTTGCAGCGGGACAATAAGGATATCACCGCTCGCTAGGCTCGAGACAAGGTTCAAGTGGTAGGTTCTTCTCAAACGTTAGGGCCTAGTGATGGGGTTAGGCAGACGGTTAGTAGAGAGAAAATTAGCCAAGCAAACTTTTGCAGGTCGTCCCAGGTCTTTGCTCTAAACACTATTTATTAGAGCCTTCAACTTGAGTATCTAAATACTAATCATTAGAGACTTAATCATGTAAAAGCAGCTTGATAGGCTCATACTCTTACTATGCACCTCCATTTGTAATGCTCTTTTATCTATGTCTAAAGCCTCCCTAGATTGTTTTAGCACATGAGCTACTCGAACACATGGCTTGTTGATGGGACTAGAAGACCCCAAGTTCAGATACATGTTTATGCACAAAAAAGAGAGAAAAAAGCCTTGCAAAGATGGGTCTCTCTCAAAACATTTTAGGAATTTTGACCACTTAACATGGACCAAATTGCCTGCCATCTGCCTTGTAGAAATTGATTAGTTTATTGGACATAAAATTGAACTTGGTTACGCCAATTGATACTTGTTTATTAGCATATTGCTTATTGAAATTCACTCCAAAATTCTGGATTTTCAGTGGACATGTCAAATACAAAAATCCTTGTCTATATTGTCTTGAACTATGGTTTTGGGGCCCCTATGGATCTGAAAACTGAGAATAAAAATATAAAACAAGAAGGAACAAAACATATCCTTCTTAAACAATTATGTACACCATTTTTCCACTTTTTTTAGAAAGATAATTTTGTGCAATTTGGATGAATAGAAAAAGAAGGTGTTTTATTGAAAGAGGAGATAAATAGTCCATAGTCACATCAAGGAGGTATATGGGTTGCCACTTACTCGTGAACCGGATCCAATGAGAATGCAAAACATACGTTTGCATGGGCAATAACTGCATTAAATCGTGAAACTTAAAGTGGTGGGGCATACAACAATGAATGCCATTATTATGAAGGCCCAAGTTTATGACTTCATGCTGTGGAAAATTTTGCAAAGTGGTCTCAAGGTTTCCCACTAAAGGGGTACGAGGGGATAAGAAATTCCCCAGAGTCACACACACTACAAAGTACAATATTGCCTGAGGGGATAAGTACAATACAATGTTCACTCCGGTAAGCTTTTTAAGCTTCCTCTATAAGATAGAAGTTCTATCGTTTCTTTTATCCAACCGTTCTTTTTTAATAGAGGATTAAGATTGTCTCAATCACAACGTCATATTTTTATATTATTTTATTTTTAATTTTTTTTATATAAATTATTTTGATATTAAATTTTGGTCGTCCATTCTTCTATTAAACTCGTACTAGCGAAAAATATATAAAAAATATTTTCAATAAAATAAAATAACCAAAATACTTCTGAAAATTTCAAGAGATATTTTGATCATTATATTTTATCAAAAAAATTATTTTTAATAGTTTTTATAGGTGAGCCCCAATGAGAAGATGGCACATACCAAATTTCATATTCAAAGACCATTTATATAAAAAAAAACTAAAAATTAAATACTTTCAGACGTCGGATCTAAGATCAAATGGTGAGTGGTTCTCTTGATCAAAATTGAATGGCTGGATGGTAGGGGAAAAATATAACTTCTATGTTGTAGGGGAAGCATAGAAGTCTTTCCCATAACAATATTGTACTTATCCGCTCAGGTAAAAGAGCTGCCTCAATGTATTGCTTGATATAAAATTTTGGTTTTCATTTTAAAATCATTTGATGAGTATTTTTCAAAAGAAAAAAAAAGTTTTCATCTCCTAAATTATTGTATAACCATCCAAAAGTTGCACAATCTCTATTCAATCTTAAAACATTATTCTTTTAAGTAGATATGTAGTGTATATTAATTTTTTTAGGTTGGTCACTAAGTTTGTTATATCCCAAAATTTAAGGCCTTAAAAATAATTGTTATTTTAACCTAGGAGATAAATATAAGATATGCAACTATTGTCTACAAAAAGACCATTTATCTTTAGGTGCAGTTTGTATAGAGCCTATGCTCTAAACAATCAAATTAGAGCCTACCTTCAAATAACGTCGAGAAATGCGGTTTCAATATTGGAAATCTTTGTGATAGCCTTAAAATATATTTTCATTTTTATTTATAAAGTTTAAAGCTTTAAAAATAGTGTAGATTGACTTATCTATAAAAACTTGGTAATCTTGAAAATTGACGGTCCATTTTTTTCTCCTGTCCATATATCTTGATGTTGAGATGATCAATTTGAAGATATTTGGGCATCAAAACAACATCTTCTAATAAAGGTTTTAAAGTAAGCTCAAATTTGATTGTTTAGAACTTCGGCTCTATATAAACTTTTCCCGTTATCTTTTATACGATGGAGGTCACAATCATTTTTGTCATTTAAATTTTAAAATGGGTGGTTGTAATAATATCATTGAATAGACATAAAGTTTCAAAAAAATAATATCAGACTTCGTAATTCATCCCAAGCCATCCAATTTAATATTTAATGAGTGAAAAGAATTGTGACCTCTATATAAAAAACAATATGAATGCTACTATCTCTAATTTTTTGTCATAAATTTTGACCTATGAAAAGTGACCTTGAAAAAGTAAACAAACAGATGATAAAAAACCAATACAAGGAATGAAAACAGTTCGTGTCATAATTGCCGGTCAGATGCATGGTATGACAAAAGCGAAAAGGTGTGGTTTACATAGGGTTAAAGCCCTAAACAATCAAAATCAGGGCACCTTTAAATAGTATTGAAATATATTGTTTTAATATTATAAATTTTTAAAATGGTTTAAAAATATATTTTCATATCTAATTATAAAATTTAAAGATTAAATAATAGTATGATCAAGTAGATCCATATACATTCAAAAATCTTGAAAATTGATAATCTAGATAACTTTTTACAAGGTGCATTATTTTTAATATTTGAAATCTATTTTTTCTCATGTCCATATATCTTGAGATCGAGATAATTGAATTAAAAGTTTTTCAATAACAAAACAACTCTTCCAGCGAATTTTTAAAGTTTGCCTTAATTTGATTGTTTAGGGCCACACCCCTATACAAACTTTTTCCAAAGCAAAAACCTCCATGGGAGCAGAGGCAAACCAAAAAGCTAACAAAGAGTTCAACCAACTTTAAAGTCGAGGGCCTCTCCTGTTTGATAATATACATGCACCCCCCAAACTATAAGGGTTTAAAGTGGTGTGATTTAAAGTTGTTTGTGAGTTGGATGGATAGTCAAGATGGTCGTGATGGTTATCAAGATTTTTAATGTAAGAAATTCAGGAAATTAAAACGAAAAAAAATGGTCATCAGTACTCAGTGGGAGAGATGTAGCATAATTATTCAGTGGGTGAATCCATCAAGCCTGAGATTGCATTGAGATGTAATCAAAGAAGAGATCAAAATTTGTAACTGAAATTCACACTGAAGCTCATATTCATCACTGAAATTTACAATCTCCAACTCAGCATTATACATTAGTTTGATACATGGGAGAGAGACTCTCAAACTCTCTAGTTTCAACCAGTTTACACTCTGCTAATCAGGTTACATATCAGTTCAATGTCTCAGAGACTCTCTCTCTCTCTCGCTCTCTCTCCTATATACATGTCTATGTACAAAAAACTCGTGAAACCATCAAGCATAGTGATCAAGGGAGCTATAGCATGTCCTGAAGAGGCTAAGAGTTGAAACCACCCAAAAAGGACTTCAACTTCACCCTAAATTTGGCTCCTCCATTGATGAGTAATGCATACAAGTAACTCAAATTCAGTGACTGGAACAAATGGGGTTGCTCTAAAAATACCTTCCCCCCTATCCTTCAAAATTGGCCCCCTGTCTGACCGGATTTCACCATATTTCAGGTCCTCCACTGCTCAAATTTTCAAGGGTTAGAAGTTCTCATGAAAGTTATGAGAACGAGAAAGAGCAGCCGGGTTAGCATGCAGAACCTGAGAAGCCTCACTGGATCGGTTCTTATCATCACCCTTCGAGTGAAAAGCCTTGAAAATCCCTCCACCGCTAATTGTATCCACCTTCTCTTTGTTTGCTTTAAGAGTTGCCCATATCGAGCTGTTAACCGCCTCACCCGAATCCTCAATTCTAAGTGTCTTTGGAACCCAAAGGCAACTATCAGTTTTGCTCTGATTATCTAAGTTTCTATCTCGTGGATGCTTGCCTAAAGTAGGAGAATTCAAAGATGAATTATTTGATAAAGAAGTAGGAGATGTTAGCCCACCATCTCCATTAGCCACCCAGGGTACAGGCCAACCGCCAGGGATGCATCCCCAATATGAACCATGATAGAATGATAGTGGAATAGATGGAGCACAAAAAGCAGGGGATCCTATGGTGGGTGTGCTCCATTGAACTGGACTCCATGGATAAGGCCATGGAGCTCCACTATAACCAGAAGCGAACCCAGTTGCATAATTGGGGTCTTGAAACTGAACACGGTTTTGCTCCTTGTCCATAGAATTTGTGGAAGTCAGAGAAGAAGAGCCACATGATATGTCCTCTCCATTCTCTTGGGGTTTCTCTTCCTCTGCTTTTATTAATCCATTTCTCCTTGTCGCTGCCACTCTGTGCTCGGCGAGGTTCAAAACTGAAGCCACAGATTCGCATAATGGGATATCGGACCCAAAACTAAGCACTGTACCTGTTGGTTTTGCTACCCCGTTTTGGATTATATGTGATGATTCGTAATTATTGGAACAACTTGTAGGAAGGCCATCTGGTGTCAAAGATGGAATTTGCCGATAGTGAGAGGAGGAGGAATGCTTGTTTTTTCGGCGCCCGGCCCCTACGGGTACATTCCTCATTGTTCCACCTGCTGTCCAATACCTTTGGCAACTCTTGCAAAAGTGCCTTGGCTGATTCACATTGTAATTGTTGTAATAGCAAAACTTGGTTTCGAGGCTGTTACATCGAGCGCACGGCAACAATTTGCTGGGCTTTTTATTGGTCCTTTCTTGGCCAATACCCAGCTCTTGGTTTTCCTCTTCTCCTCCTCCTACTTCTTGTGGATTGATGGGGTCTTCCTGCTCTGGTGATTCTGTGGTGTCCTGATTCGTGGTGGGATTGTTCTTTGGCTCTGAGGAGCTACCTGTGTCTCCTGGCTCTTCTTGATCTTCATGTTCATGATCATGTGTTCTTTCTTTGGTGCTTGAGTTGTCTTTGGAATTTGAGTTGTGAGAAAATTCCTGAAAATTTGGTGGAATTATAGTAAGAACAAAAGCATGGATGAAATCAAATTGGCTTTGATTACACCTCACAAGAGAGATAGAGAGAGATAGAGAGAGATTGATTTGGAAATTTCATTTATCAAGCTTAGGTCTCAGATCCACAACTTATAGAATTGAGAAGGAAGACTTATTGAAAAGAAAATTTCCTGAAACTCAGAAAAAAGGAGGATTTTGTTGAAAACTAAGTGATGGGAAATAGTGGGGTGCCCGTAAAAGCACTAGTGGACCATCAAAAGAACTCTACAGTTAAGCGTGTTTGCGCAAATATATCAAACAGGATGAATGACCCCTAAAAAACTCTTACCCTCAGGTTGATGCTTAAAAAAAAAAAAAGAACAAAGAAAAAAAAACACAGAGAGATAAAAAAACAGAGAGAGAGAGAGATCTGGTTGCAAATCCACTTTTTTATTTTTTTTGTTTTATTTAGAAGAACAACTGAACAAGGTTATATAATAAACAAATAAAGTTCTATCTACCACTAAATTCTGTAATTTTGCCGCAAAAAATCAACAAAAAGAGGTTTCATGCCATACAATATCAAGAGAAAGTCATGATTCTTGATATTACCCTGGAAAACTCAAATTTTCTTATAAGAAAAGTCTTCAAAGACTTATAACTCTTTCAAGATCATGGATTTCTTGGTAATCTTTCATCTAACTCTTACCCAGGAAAACTCAAATTTGCTTATAAGATAAGTCCTCAAAGACTGAAAAATCTTTCAAGATCATGGATTTCTTGATAATTTTACATCTAACTCCCATACTTATTTACAATTTATGGGAAGAAATAGTAAATTTGTCTGTATTAACTTGTTGAAATTTAACAACTAATTTTTTTCATGTAATCATACAAACTTATTAGACCAGGATGCTTTCAAGATACTAAATGTTTTCTGCTCATACAAAAAATGCCAAATGTTCTCTTGAGAAAGGATATATTCAAGAAACGTTAAAATTTTAAAAACACAAACACTTTTGTTGTAAAATTCACAGAAATTGAAAATCTCAGTTAAACACCTGTTATCACTAGTTTACAGCCAGAAGTACTCAGTTTTTTCCACCAAAAAAAGTTCAATTTTTTTTTCTCCAATTTACAAACTTACACCAAATCCATGATCAAATTTTGGCACAACTATAAACAATTTTTTTTTTTTAAAAAAAGATTTTAACATTGCCAATCATAACTGATAAAAAAACAGAAGGCAGCCTAAAACCACCACTCTCTTCCATTTAAACCTCCCCAAAAGAAAAATACACAGTTCACCACCAAAACTCTACTTAAATGAAAAAAATATATGACTCTGTACCTTATCATTAGCTGCACCTTCACTTCTAACATCTTCTTTGGCCTGGATTTCCTTCTTTGTGAGCACTTGAATTGTCTTTCCAAACAACTTGATGGCTGGATCACTAATTTCAGCAGGCATGGTGGATTAACCTCTTAATCCAAACTAAAACTTAGCCAAAACTACACTGAATGAATCAAAACTACACAGAAAAAATAATTACACAAAGACTAATAAAGAGTAATTTTCATATCAAAGAATTAATCACTAGGAGAACCCAAAATGGTTCTAGAAACTCAATATAACTGGACCAATTTGAGTTAGTAATAAGAATTATTAGTAGACCAAGGAGAAGAGTAGATAAAATGGAAACACTAAAGAGCTTGAAAACCATATAAGAAGACTTGGCAGCTTTTTATATAAAAATTTTGTCCTTTTTTTTAGTCAAAAGGTTAGTACACGTCAGCAAGAGGGAGTGAATTGTGGCCACAAAGTTCTTGTGGCTAAAAATTTCAATCAGGATGGCCACCCACATTATAATAGTAGGCTTCTTTTTATGAGCCAATAACTCGGCGATATTTTGAGGTTGGGTTGTAATATCGTGGAAAATATCGGCGATATATTGGATCTTCCACTTTATGTGTGTGGGCTTGTGTTTTTGGTTAATGTCGAATATGTACGTTTTCATATTTTAGGAAAAGGTGATTCAATTCTCACGTGAGGAATTTGGTGAGTATTTGAGTCTTTATTTTATTTTTATTTTTTCTTTTCATTTTTTGTGGCTACTCTTTTATTTTAGGAACCTCATTAAGAAAGGAAAATTGTTTCAGGACCGCATTTCGACATTTATGGTCCCCAAGGTATAAAGCATCCATTATAAAGATGATGCAATTAGGTGGTCCATCTAAAAACTATTAAAACTAATGGTCCAAATGGCTTTCTAATTGATTTATTATTTTTAATTTTTAAAATTTATTTATTTTTTCATATTTAGGATATCCATATTAGAGATTACATGTCCTTAAAAATTAAGTCCATAGAGATTACATGTCTTTAAAAATTAAGTCCAAAAATCCATCTCAAAAATAGATTTTTTAAAGGTGACTCATTTTTACGTGTACTCATCGAAACTGTGTCCTAGGAAAAAAGGGAAAGCTTTGCATGTGACCCCACCCACATATATAGTATATGTGACCCTTGATCTTAGTCGTCAGATCTAAGTAAATGGCTAGGATGACTTGAGTCACAATGTCACAAATTGGCTTTTAATCGTTAGATATTAATCGGACGGCTCATAAATTTTTATTTTATTATTTTTATTATATAAATCATTTTGAAGCAAACTATGGTCAATACATAGATATGACAGGGGCGCATATGATAAAAATAATAAAAAATATTTTTAATAAAAAAATTACCAAACTACCCCTAAAAATTATGGGCATTTTAGTTATTCATATTTTATGTGAAATATTTGTTTTTATTTTTTCTAGGTTCACCCTAATTTTATGATGGGGGCCAAAAATTTCATCCAAATGTTTTGTGTAAAAAAATGAAAAATTTAAAAGTGTTGGCTCGACATTGAATCATGAACAATCATAGATATCGATTCAGATCGAATGGCTAAGAAACGGAGCCACACCTAACTTATATGTTGTTGGGGTCACAGAAAGCTTTCCCTAAAACAAATATATTCCCTTAAAGCACCTTTTTAATTTTTAATTTTTTTGGCGCCTAAGATTTCATTTTAGAAGCACAAACATAAAAGGATTTCTATTGAGTATTCAAACTACCAATTAGTTGGCTATAAATTGGGTTTCAACTTTTTTTCTTCTTTAAGAATAAGAATAATTGCTTTGTTAAACATTGATGTTGTGGTCGCAATATACCCTTTTTTTTTTCCCTGGCTTTTTTCTTGGCACTTTCTTTATTGAAAGTATCAAATATGCTTTTTCTTTTTCAAAACTAAAATTCAATGGCCAAGGAAGTGATATTTAGAAAGGAAAATGGTTTGATAAAGCTGCAGCCCGATCAAATAAGTAAAGCCTTATCTCATAACTAAAAAAAATTTGCAATTCAAGTGTTGAAAACCTTTAAATCAATCATCTCAACTTGAGTATTATACTTGATAAAATAAATTAGGATTTCAAGTTCTCAAAATAATATATATTGCAACAAATCATATAGACCATCCATTTCATCCTAAAAAGAAGTGTCACATATTCACAAGATTTGTACCCTTTTTTTAGTTTCAAAATTTATTGTCATTGGAAATTGATTTTAGAACCCCCTTGAAGATTTCCAGTGCTCAAAGTGCATTCCGGATGCGGATTTGAGGTGAGGCTTTATTTTGTTTTCATAAAGCCTAGGCCCTATAAAAACTTCATCCATTTAGAAAGGGACATGGTTTCTATGAGTCAACGGGCTCACATATAGAAATGCGGGCCCCTTAATAATTTATTTTTGCAATAGAATTTAATTCTATTTTTTTGGAAATATATAATCTTTAACATGTAGATTGTTTATTTGTTAAAATAAATAAATTTAAAAATTAGAAATGATATATTTTGGAAAAAATATTTGAACCATTGATTTTACTTTTTTGAAAGACTGTTATTTATGGTGTAGATCTACACTTTCTTTGGTGGATGGTGTAGATCTCCAAGCCCGCATAGTAACAGGTACGCACTTGGATACACCAAACAATTCTCCTTTAGAAAAAAGGGTGAAGTTTTGGTATGGCTGCGGCATTACCAAATTCGGTAAAGCCACACCTCAAATTTGTGCCAAAATAATACATTCGGCACTCGAAAAAGCTGTATTGGCTTGCAAACCAAAATTGTTGCTTGGATTATAGAATTTGAAGCTTGAAAAATGGTGCAAATCCGTTGGTTCCATGGAGACTTGAACTAAGCCGTCCAAAATAATGTTATAAAATGTACCTTCTTTTTTTTTTTTTTTGAGATTGAGATCAAATTCTTTTAGATCCATAATTGTCGAGGTTAAAGTGATTGATTTGTGGGTTTTTTAATACCAGAACTCTATTTTTTCGATGAGATTTAAAGCATAGTTTTGTAACGGGGTAATTTTACAAAATACTTTCCCATAAAAGGAAAAAAAAATAAAATAAAAAGGTTCTTTTTATAATTATTATTTTTAAAGAGAACATGTAGCAGCATCCCTTATTAAGCATTTAACTAAGCACTATAGTCCTGCTTGTTGGCACGTTTGGTCATGGGGACTTATTGTGCCTCACTTATTTTTATGGACCTCATCTATTTTGTATCGGAGGTATCCCGTATATATTTATGGTTATATATTTATAAATGATTTTTATTAAATGTAATATATATAAATAAATTACTTATTTTATCAAGGTTTTCTAATGTTCATGTGAAGTGTGGATAAGCATCCCTGAGATTTAAGAGTTCGTTTACTAGAGACCCATTGAGAAAAGGTGCATTGGGCCCATCTTCTTTCTTAGAAGGGTGAGGTTTTCATAAAGTTGCAACCTTAAACAATCCAACTAAGGCGCACCTTCAAATTTTATCATAATATATAATTTTGATATAAAATGTTCTTAGGATTATCTCAAAATCTATTTTTATATCTAATTATAAAATTTTAAATTTAAAAAATGTTTAAAATCAAGTAGATCTATAAATATATGAAAACCTTGAAAACGACAGTGTAAATATGTTGTAAGATGCACTATTTTTGAGACTCAAAATCTTTTTATTTTTCCTAGTCATACATCTCGATGTCGAGATGGTCAAACACAAGGTTTTTTAACATTAAAATAATATTTTTCGATGTATTTTTGATGTGAATCCGTAGTTACGCATTTTAAGATTGCAACCCTATATAAATTTTATCCTTCCTATAAACATGGGAAGTCAAAGAGATGAAAATATAACAAAAATCACATAGCCTCATGTTTACATAAAGCTTCTCTTTTCTTTCAAAAGGTTTCCTAATTAAAATTCGAGTTATGCGATGACCAGACTCATGACACATCCCTCTCAGATCTCGGGCTTAGTGTTCATCCTCGCTCTATTAAAATTTTTTTCACTGGTACCAGAGCGATCCAGATTCTACCTTACTAATATTTTAGAATTTTTTTGGTGCTAGTACTTTTTTATATTTGCCAACTCTTCCCCACACTGGGTATTTGTGATCATCATGCACTGAAAAACAAAAGTTATCCACCTTTGCCCCAACTCTCAAATCCTACGCAACCCGATACTTGGATCTTGTGTTTGAAAAATAGCCATTCGGATTGGGAATCAGATCCCACATAATCAGTTTTAGGAGAAAACTGCAAATAGTTTCCTCGATACCATTTAGTATTTTCGTTTTTATATAACTTTCCAATGTTTTTTCGATATTTTAATAAATCCTCACCCCATAAACACTTATTTTAATTTTTAATATTTTTAGATCACTTATCTAGATCTACAGGGAATTTGACATAGGACTAGCGGATGGATGATCCACCCCATGCATCTGTTTTTTACGAAGACTGTTTGGATCAATCTGGACCCTCCACCTTGACAGAAAGTGGATGATGAGAAGTACACATTAGAACCCACCCAACAAAAGAGAAAAGGCAACAACACTACATATACTACTATGAAAGCGAAAACCAAAAAGTCGGACTTCCAAAACCAATTACTCGGCCGTACAACTATCAATTATTCGCCACGGTGTAATGATCAGGTCAAATTGGGCAATCCCGTTGTGCCACGTCACCCAACAGATCACATTGGAGTCGTGGCAAAACTGGGGGTTAAAAATTCTTAATAAAATAATCCGATGTTTTTAGTAATAAACGAATTAATAAATAGCAAGGGTCTTTCTCGCCACGTCGGCTCTCTCACGTGGCACCGTGTAGTGTTTTTTCCGCCAAGGAGCATCGTCCACTAGTGGTTGTCGACTCTTAGGGCACACGCGTCGAGCGCTCACTCGTGTACGGAATATTTGTGTTTTACACGTGTTGACCGTAGGATAGTTCTGAAAAAGTGGAATTTGCGGGTCATTTTCGTAAGATAAAGGGATAAAAGGTTTTATTCTTTTCTCTTTTCCCTAAAGTTATGAAATAGTGGTACGGGTTTAATTGACGGTCGAAATGGTTAGACTAATTTTTGAAAATAATATTAATATTTTATAATATAAAATATATTATTATTGTTTATTAAATATTATTTAACTAATTGAACTGATAAACATTTAATTGGTCCTACTAATCAAAATCGATAAAAAATTGTTATGATTGATTTTCGATCGCAGTCTATTTTTCACTTGGGATTGTATTAGTTAAGGCACCACCCGGATCACCGATTCAATTCAATCTTGTTGGATCGAAG